TCTCAGCAGCCCTCTGCCCCCTTCGTTGGCTACCCTGGGACCCTAGAACATGAATTTGGGGAGCAGTGCCTTGCAGTGGCTCTGAGACATGGACGCAGTTTGGACAGGCTGGGAGGAGGGGGGTTGGGGGAGTGGGAGGGGGCCACTGTCCTCCACTGTGTGAAGACTCTGTGACCTCCTGCCCCAAGCTCTGACCCCAGGGTGGAGAGCTCTGTCCTGTCCCCAAATCCCTACCACTATTTATTATGCCTTGCACATGGGTTCCAGCTTGTTGCTCCTGCATAAAACAGGAAGGCCCTGGGAAGTTTGGGATGGGGAAGAGATGGTCGCGCTCCCTGCAGGATCTTGCTTCTCCTTTGTAGGTTATATTGCAGGAAAGCCCAACACTTGGCTAGCCTCTCATATCCGCCACTCCCTTCTCAAACAGATTCCCCCAGGTTTACTGCTCCCACCTGCCCAGCTTGCTCCCTCCCTGCAGTGCAAGCTGGGCTGAGCGGTCCAGCACCACCATGGTACTGTTGCACAGTACTGCCCTTTCTCCACCCCTCCAGTGTGGGTGTCCAGAGCTGTACACGGTGGGTGCTGGAGTCTAACCAGTGTCTTCCTTGCAGACTGAGACTCTTGGACTCTGCTTTTCCTCCCTTGGGGATGCCCTTCACCACAGCTCCGGGAGCCGTGGGATCTGAAGCACGTGGTGAGTGCTCAGGATGGAGTGTGGGCCAAGATGCAGTCCTTTGGGACTCTGCCCTCCTTGAGAGAGAAGAGTTTGCTGAAAGCTTTTCCAAGGCTGTGAAAACAGCTTGGGCTATTGCTTCGGCTTTTCCAGAGGTAAACTCTGCTGAGCCTCCTCCTCCTCCTGTACGGGACACTGTCTTCTTTGGATCCCTTATGCTCTGTGACTCTCACACCCAGTAAAGGAAAGGGCCTGCCTAGAGCTTTGAGTCTGAGGAAAGACAAGTGGTGGCCCATTTCACAGGCAGAAAGCTCCAGGGATGCAGATCAATGATCACATCACGACATGGCCAAAGTCTAGCATGGGCTAGACCGGGACTCTTCTGATAACCTCAGCTGGCCTCCAGCCTTCGGTCCCTGCAGTCTCCACAAAGCCTTCCAGTTGGTCCTGGTGCACACAGTCCTGACCATGGGACTCTCTCCTTCTCAAAGGCCTCTGGTGGTGCTCCATGTCCCCTGCCCCTCACCCCGAAAAATCTGTGCTCCCATCTACCATCCATGGCTCTGGGACAGTGACCCTGGGAGCACACTCTGGTTCAGCCAGCTGGTTGGGTCACCTTTCCCAGAACCCCGTGGCAGTCTCCCATCTCTGGGGCTGAACTGAGATTAGGGGAAATGAAGGTGTGGCCTAATCGGGGCTCAGAGGGCAATTCTTCCTCTGGATTCCAAGCACTCATCTCACAGGGACAGAACCCTTATTCCCTTCAACACAAACCAAATCCCATCACTTCGTCCTCACCTGCTCAGCAGGCAGGCCAGCTCTATGCCTTCCTTTGAATTCATCCACATTATTGTGCTGCTATCGTCAATTGTTGTGTATCCTTTCGTGTGTCTTACTTTTCCCGTTAGATTGTTGGTGCTTTGAGAACAGGAGCCCCACACCCTCTTCATCTCTGGGCCCCCAGCTACTGTATAAGGAGTTTGGAATTGATGCAAGTAAAAGTTGGTGTTTTGGGTGGGAGCAGAGATAGTCCCGGGGGAGAGCATTGAGAGGTAAGGGGGCACACTGTACCACTTCTGGAGGCTCCCATCACTCCTGTGCTTCTGGGCTAGCCCAACCCACCCCAGGAGGTCTCCTGGCCCTCCCACCACTTCAGCCGTTCTCTCTCTCTTCTTCTTCCTCCTCTTGCATTCAGAGTAAAGGCCGAAGAGTCTAAGAGGCCCAGAGTATGGTAGGGTGCAATAAGAGAGGGACATCTGGCTCCAGAATAAGTTAAAGAGGGCATCCTAGAGAATGAGGCTTTATAACAGAGCTTGGGAGAAGAGATGGGAAGGCAGCAGGGCATTTTTCTAGACTGGGCTGGAGTCGGCCAGACAGTTGGGAACGGGGAATCATTAGTGGACCAGAAGCAGCAACTGGGGATCTGAGATTTGCTTCTTTGTAATTAAATGAACAAAGCGTATTCAATAGATTCATAGAGGCTTTATTTATGTGGATATAACTAGCTTAGATGGACGTAATA